AGCTCTGTATGTTTTGGTATGTAAAAGTTCTTGACATCTTATTATATTAACCCTAGAATTACTTGTGAGAGCTCTGTATGTTTTGGTATGTAAAAGTTCTTGACATCTTATTATATTAACCCTAGAATTACTTGTGAGAGCTCTGTATGTTTTGGTATGTAAAAGTTCGTGACATCTTATTGTATTAACCTAGAATTACCAAAAGGGCCAGGATTCCACGTGCGTTTTACTAATTTCCAAACTATGTATTTATCAACTTAGCAATCAGTGTGTTTAAAGGAAAACAAAGTTTGATGATAAAGAGGATAATAACTCTTATGATGAACAACATTGTTTATATATATCAGAAGGGACACGGATAAACGTTTCAGAATTCTACAGATTCTACCTTCAGCATCTAAGGCAAAAATACATTTTGACGGGAAGCAAATGTCAAGGTTAACTTTAAAGTCCTATTTTTCACAGGTACGGTATACATCCAGAGAACCATTGCAATTATTTCCACCAATTACAGAAGGGGTTCGTCCCTCTGGACATTTTGCGTACAAAATGAATAATTTCATCCAATTTTCGGTTTGTTCTTTACACTGAGTGTTTAAACAGGCAAAAACATAAAATGGCTCAGTGATATGCAATATTTTGACCGTACTGGAGCAAATGGAAGAAAAACAAGTCAGTAGTTTAAGGGTTCAAATCTGTATTGCAGACTCGCATAGTTATTTGTTGTTCTGTAAGACACATAATATAGACTAGTCAGTAAATTAACATTTCTTGAATTTTGGTTATAGAAACATGTTAGTTTTTAATGCTTTTTGTATTGAAAGATTCAGCATGAGTTGCTTGCTAGAAGGTTTTTTTTTATTCAACAGAACTTAAATCTTGGGCTGTTATTTTGTACATATCAAAACTCTGTTAATGGCATTTTTTTGTTCAATTCAAAAACATAAAGATCCATTACGTTACATTCCTCATGATCAGCTCAGCTAGGTTAAGTTTCATAATCTGATGTTTAGTTTGTGGAGCTAGTGTTCTGGTTTCAGATGGTAGTATTTCAGTTTTGTGTATTGTTTAAAAGCTGTGTAGTAACGAGTATCGTGTATTCATCACATGAACAACAAAATTTATGTTTTGTTTTTCATCACCTTAATTGTGCAGTTTGACGATGTTAAAAATGTACTGTTACAGTTGAGCATATGTGTTCAAGGTGTGCCTTTGCGTTTGTTAATTTATATTGTTGTTTTTTACGTAAAAACACCTCTATCGTTAAAGACAAACAAAAATAATTTCGATAACTGGGAGAAAACTAAAAAAAAATGTGTCTTTTTTCAGAGCTGATGGCAAGGTAGGGCACTGTTTGATCCATAAGACAGGTAAAGGCTATGGTTTTGCCGAGCCATATGACGTCCATCCGACCCTGAAGAGCTTGGTACTTCACTATGCTCAGAACTCCCTTGAAGAACACAATGTTTCTTTACAAACAACTTTAAAACATCCTGTTTTTGCAGTACAACCAGATCATTTTGTTAGTTTTTCAATATGATGGAAGGATGTAACGTATTGATTGATTTGCTTCTTCCATCTATAGATAAGATCACATTAGGTCATTTGGAGACTGTCGGTAATGTTTTCACTGAAGTAGAGAACAATATAAATGAAATAATGAAAAAAAAAACTCATATTTTAAGAATTCGTTCAACCAGTTCTGAATTACATCTAAAATTTCCAGTGTCACAATAAATATGGTTTGAGTTCTCCTCAGGTTGTAAAATTATTAGAATCTTTGCACGAGTACTTTATTTTTTTATAGAAATCTTAATTAACCCATTAACTGCGGATGACGGATATTTCCATCATTGAACTTCTATGGCTTAGCTGCGAATGACGGAGATATCCGTCAGTCGCACATATATAACTCTATGCGAATGACAATAATTGCCGTTTTATTGTGATTGATGGCAACTCAGTTTTATCTGTGAGTCAGAAAACAGCAACTGAGCTGCTCCTGCATCAGTTAATGGGTTAAAGTCATTGTTGCTATATAAATACTTTACACATAAAGCTTTTCTATTAAAGTAATCCTACAGTACAAGTATTTGTTATGATGTTAATAATGTTTTCTGTCTAAGAGAAATTGTTAAGCACAAGATCGGATGTATATTTTAATGTATATGTATTGTTTCTTTGACAAATTATCTGTACAGTTTCCAGATATTGTTTACTTCATTGTGTTTTATAGATTGGGTTGTAATGGTTAGGGTTGTTATTGTTATAACAAAATGACGAGTAAGCCTTACATTAATACACGCGAGGTTCAAACAATCATGACATTGTAGGTTTGACTGACTTGAGAAAAATATACAGATATGAAAGATTTAACGTAAAAACATTTATTGAACGTTATTTTAAAATATATTATTAAGCTTCATTAACGTATATTCTGTTATAATTCAAAACCCTCTTTTTTTAACATTTATCTTATGACTCTGTTAATTTGGATGGGCTAGCTTGGCTAATTGACTTAGTTGAAAGGTAAAAAAAAACCCACAAGATGATACTAATTGTGTAGGGTTTCAGTACTTAAAACAAGGGTATTTGAATTAGGCTTACCCTAATACTTGTTTTGTGCACATTAAGCTTGTGCTCATATTTTCCACGTGTTTTCCCCGTGACCATCTCTCGATTACTGCGTGAAGAACATTATATGATTCTTCGGCTCCTCACTGATTGGTTGCCATGTTTATCCCAAAAGACCATTGTAGCTTTTATAAAACACCAACTATCTGCTATTTAAACTGTTAATCATTCATATTCACCTGTATGTTAGCATTGGCCAATCTCCATTTTGTATCCAGCGTATCCAGGTCTCTATAATCTGTGTTCGTCTAACTGAACAAGATGGTAATTAAAATCATGTTAACTACCCTCTTCAACCAACCTTGATTTGTGAAACCAACATTTCATCCTGTGTTGTACTTACATAGATTAATTGGATTCAGATTGTGATTAGATGCCGTCTATCTGTGCTCTGCCCACCATTAATTCTGAGCCAAGTTATACATGTCTTGAAGTGAGTGTGACATGTACATACTCTAAACCTAGTACTTAAACAAGTTGAAAATAATTAAGACTGAAATGTGTGTGAAAGTTTAAACGTTTTAATATTCAAAGGAAGAATTATGCCTATTTGTTTTCTAAGTTTTTTTCTTTCAAATGTATGATACAATTTGCAAAAAAAAAGCCCTACATAGAAATGTTTTGTAAGCATGTTTTTGAGAGAAGAGCCTTACGATGGTACTGTATGTAGTGTGGGAATACTTATTTGACATGAGATCAAAATAACATTTGTTGTTGTTGTTTTCTAGTAAAGTCTGAAAGAGCGAAATACATTTTCTTTGAGAGTGATGCCTAGTTTCATGGGTCACTTACTGTCATATGGTATGGTCGGTCTAGCTATCAAGTCTTCGTCGTTTGGAATATTATAGACAGGTGTGATCACAGAGTTGTGATTTGGCAGTATATACTATGAGAACAATAGTGTTTTAAGTAAACTACCGTATTCTTTGTTATTCATAAGGTACATCAACAAAAACGTTTACTTTGTTTTAAAAACTTGTTAATATAATCTCCAGACATCCCGCGTCTAATTAAGGAAAGTGAATGATACCCACTTATAGATTAAATAAAACTTTTATTTTTTTTACCTTTCATTATTTTAATATGTAACCACGTATGCTAAGTGGTTTAATGTTTAAAGGAAATGCTTGTTGTTTTTTCAACCACAACAACAATAAATGTTCCCCCATGGAATATTTTTTTTATATTTTTCATAATGACAGTGTATAGGATGATTATAAAAAAAAATCTTTTTTAAAATTATTATATCATAAAACTACCTGTTCTATGGTCTATGGGAATCTAATTTCATGAGTTTTTTTCAAGAAAGTTTGGATTTCAAAAACTGTCACATAAGTTGTACAATAAGCTTTCTATGATATCAGGCCTATCTCCAAGTGAAGTTGCTAGTATTAGCGTAAGATATCAGGCCTATCTCCAAGTGAAGTTACTAGTAAAAAAAAACAATGCTAGTTTGTGGGAAAAGCAGTTTATGTGTTTAGTGTAATATGATTTTAAAATATGCTGTGTTAGGAACAAATTTTCGTGAATAAAACTCACGATTCTTGGTGTGCCTCCAGTAAAATTGTGGAACTTGTAGTTTCGAAATATCATTTTTAGATGTTGAATTTTCTTTAAAATTTCCCTGTACACTTCTTAACAACAAAATCATCTGTTGAACGTCTGCCATATTTGTTGTTAAGAATGTTGATATATATATATTATAACTTAATTAGAGATTCAAAAATTAACAATACTATTTATTACAAAATTTATGGTATGAAGTATTCATATATTTTAATGCAATTTGTAGAAGGAGAAAAATATATATTTTTTATATTTAAGGCACAATATTCATACAGAGTTTTAACTTCAGTGTAAAACTACTTTTTTATGTTACATAGTAATAATGTTTCTTTGCCCATAATTAACAAGATAAACAATGCTACTCATTGCAGTATCCTGTCATAGGGCTACAGTTGTTTTACAAAGGTGTGTATCTACCCACACAAGACTGACTTTAGCCAGTAGGTATTGTGTTGGTTTGTAGAAAAACAACAAAAGTTTCAATTCTACAAATACATATATATGGAAATAGAACTGTATTATCTTTAGTTTAACATCTGCACCAAGTATTTTATACCAAATGTGAATACATTTCTGTTGAATATATAGAATATATATATATATGCCCAAATGATATAGGAAATTACTGATTTATTCATATAATTATTATTCATATAATGTAAAATGTTACACCCCTCATTCTTCGGTTTTGATGGTTGTAAAAATATGGAGTAGCTTTTTTGTGGTGTACAACTTTAAAAACAATATTTGTTAATATAGCATTTTTTTTAAGCTTAACCCTTTTTTTTAGTATCCCTTGTGTGATAAACAACATGATATGATTTTAAAGTAGATATATAAAAAAATAGCTAGTCATATGTGTAGATCATCAGCTCTTCTAAAAACAAATCAGGGTCAATACAGGAATTTATTGGGTAAATCTTAGGAAGATTAGCAGATAATTCCAGTAATTGAAAGTTGTAGCTCTTCAAAAAAAAAATCAATAAAAACCTCCATTTTAATTTTGTCTTGTTTTTGTTTTTTTTAATACAGGGTAATGCAAAAATCAATGCACCACTCTGATATTTCTAAGTCCTGCCCTCTTAACTTTTAGAATGGTTTTTCTACTCATTTATCACCAAATAGCATGAAACTGGTTCTTCGGCCAACCAACAAACATCACCGTGAGACGAAACAGTCTCCAACCTCAAATTATACTCCTTAACGATATCCCAAACAATTATATCAATAGAAGGGAAAAGGCGAGTTAGTGTAACCTAAAAATTCGGTATTTAGAAATATCACCAGTAGAAAGACTTTCCGAGTGAAAGTAAATAAAGATGTATAATAATGATATGTCGTTGTGTACGG